ATATTCATGAAAAGTGTTTGTTAAATAATTGTGCACGACACTGAAGATGCAAAGGTGAAACAGCAGGGCTAGTAGAGAGAGAGATCCATAAGCAGAAAACTTCAATATGGTGAGTTTTTTTAATTTCCGGGTGAGAACTGTCCTTTGAGGCACTCCTTCACTTTCGACTGGGGTTACTGAAGGCAGTCATGGGTTCTGAAATCATGGTGATGTGGTTGTTGTTAGCTGCCATCGGTCTGGCCTAGACTCATGTTGGCTCCGTGCATAACTGAACAAAATGCTGCCCGGTCCTTATGCATACCCATGATCAGTTACAGACAGGACCATTGTGATAGGATTATCATTGGCAGATTTTCAGAAATACATTGCCAGGCCTTTCTTCCTAGTCTGTCTTAGTCTGGAAGCTCTGCTGAAACCTGTTCAGCATCATAGCAATACGCAAGCCTCCAGTGACACAAAGGTGGTGGCTTTGCGTGTGGTGCATCGCCCGGAAGGCATTGGACAGAAAGAGAACCTGGTCTTCTGCATGGAAGGCAAAAGTTCTACCACTGAACCCCCAAACCTGTTGCCACTGAGTAGATTCTGACTCATAGTGACCCTATCGGACAGGGTAGAAGTGCCCTGTAGGGTTTCCAAGACAGTAATCTTCATGGAAGGAGACTGCTGCATCTTTCTCCCACCTTTCTCGCAGCTGGTGAGTTCAAACTGCAGACCTTTGGATTAACAGCCAAGCACTTAACCAGTGAATCACCAGGGTTCCTTGCAGAACCACCAGTGCCTCAAAATCAAGGTACCTAGGCTTCAACCCACAAATTATATGTGTATTTTATAATCAAGTGTATGACATTGGTGAAACTTCTATACGGAGCTGTAGTATTAGCCAAGGGACAAGATGGCATGGCTCTCCATAGAGAGATACAAAGGCCATATGAATATAATAGAAGCACCAATCACGGCAATTTTTATATTAGAGTAACTAAGAGAAGGGAACTTACCAGATGTCTTACCATCTGTCAC